CGCCCCCTCCGCGTTCCGCATCAAGGCTAACGTCAGGAATGTGGGGCGCGCTATCTTGCATGCCCCCCGCGTTCCGCATCAGGTCGCTGACTCAGTAGCGCCCCCCCCGCGTTCTCACGCTGGCCCGCATACCGGCAGAAAGCCGCACCGGCGCCACACCAAGTTGGCGCATTACAAAAGGCGCCATTCACGGCAGCAACCAAGACGGGCGCCATGACAATTGACGAGACGCCACAGGCCGCTGCATTGTGCCGCTCCACCCGGGTTGCCAGATTGATTGGCAAAGCTAACGGGCGCCTGGCCAATGTGGCATGCAACATAACATTGCATAAGGCGCAATCACAGCGCCAACCAATAACAGCTATTAGGATGTTGCACTGGAGACAGCCTGGGAATCACGGTGACCTTGGTTTGTGGGATGGTAGTACGGAGCTGGAACCTGAGAATCGTGAGGACATGGTGTTTGATTGAGGGGGAAGTGCCATGGCAATGTTGAGTTGGAGTGGAATTGATAGCATCGGGATGATAACACATGCAATGAAATGTAGAAATGTGTGAAAATATTGTTTCGTTGTGGTGATACGTGATGTTGAAGGGAATAGTGCCCCTCCGCGCCATCTTGCGTACACCCCACGCTCTGCAGTATCGGCCATGTCTGATAACGCCGGGGGCGTTATTTGAAGGCCCCCGCGCTATTCAACAACCCGCGCGCTATCCTCCGTGAACTAATCTAATTACCACACTTAATCTACTTAATCAGAGGCACGTCAACATTGATGGCCACACATCGAGATCTCACCGTAGTGCCCATCAAAGTGGCAAATATCGTCCCCAGATTCGCAATGGCATCCATGATTCGCACAGTTTCGGCATCTGGAGCTACCGCATGAGACATTTTTGAACGTTGAAGAGGTCGTTGGGTCAAATGCCTCAAACTGCGCACATTCAAGTGTACACATGAAGAAAAAGGGAAAAACATATCTACACCTAATTGTTCGCAAATGTGAATGTATCCAACAGCAAGTGGAAAAAAAAGATCTTCTTGGGCATGCGCGTTTCCAACATGCTTCGGTATTACTCGCGGAACTGTTGCCAGTCAGAGATCAATAATATGTGCGTGGGGTGGTGTCCGCAATATCGTAACATCTGTTTAGGTGTCAGATAAGTATCTTGAAAATCGGTTGCAAGTTTATGCGCTTTTATGTGGACGTAATTTTACCCTACTAATGCATTTTTCTGCAACTCCTTGTTTCAAATGAAAACTTGCCATTCAAAGTATGTCTGGCAGATGGGTACTTGATTGAAATTGATGGTACCCTATTGACACATAACATCCACATTGAAGTTACTGCCGTGCGCCGTTTTTCCCACTACGCTCGAAACCACTGTCCATGCCCACCATATCATAATGGTGTCGAGGACATGCACATGCGTGCACATGTGTGAACATAATGCGCTTACTGTATCGACAGTATGAACCCACAGTACCTACCCACTTCTTTCTGACATCTGTATTCTGCGAATAATTCAGCTAACGTGGCTGGCTACTCGCGCGGTATTTGCGAATATGGATTGATTTTCTCCAGTCCTGAAAACACACAGTCAATACAAGTGCACGGCGACATCGTACCATGTTGCAAATCCACGCCTATCGTAGGTGAAAGGAACCCTTGTTTTCTGCACAGGACCTGGAATGTGAGTTTCTTTCGTGCGAAAAAGCAGACAGGGAGTGACAGCCACACACCTTGTTACCTTGTGGTGTCCACAACGGCTGCCACAGCTGCTGCAGGGCACGTAGGTGAGCGTGCTGCCGGTATCAACGATGAGCGTGAACTCTCTTGGCGGTGTGCCAATAGCCACGTCCACGTAAAAGTACCTAAGTGAGCAGCATTGCTCAGTTCTAAAGGGAGACATCGCACTGCACACTGGTAAAAGAAACGATCCCAGAACCAGGCTTGTTGTTCAGGCTTGGTTTTTACGCCGTAAAAGCTGATGGTGTTCGGATTTTTACGCGTAAAAATAGTTTTACGCTTTTGCTCGTAATGTACAAACAGCCCCGTGTACATAAGGGCAGCACATACAGCCTTCGGGACTACGGGGAGTGGCATCCAGATGCGCTGTGATGGGCGGAAAACGAACTTTGTTCCACTCCATCATGGCCCTTGCCGAGTGGAAAATGGACGCTGTGTTGCGGGCGCTAAAAGTGGCGGAGTACTGCTCACTGTACGCAATTTCCATCGTGTAACCTGGGTGTCACAACGAGCCGCAAAAACTTAAAACAGCCGCAGAAATTAGCTTCTTTTGCAAAGTAACGTTTTTACGTGTAAAAACGTAAACACAAGAACGCAAACGCAAACGTAAACGCAAATAACAAGCCTGCCCAGAACACCAGTGCAGCTGTTCGAATTCGTCCCGCTTCGGCATACCACGCATTAGTGATCGCATTACATGATGTGACATACCGCAATGCATGAAACTACCTTGCGCAAGCAATCGCGACACATGTGTACATATGCGCAAATGAGGAATTTCGAATTTCTCGTCAGGGATTCTTTTGAGCTCAGGCACGTGACCAACACCCCTCCGTCTGAAAACACCTCGGGAGTGTTTCATCCCAGTTAGCGCAGCTTCCTTGAGGAAACGGCTGCGCCATGCCGATCTCGGTCCGCTGAGCAATATGTCAGCGCGGCGGCGTGGGGGATCATGTCCAGGAGGCCCCATTCACCACTAAAAATCAGTCCAAAATACAAGGTTTTAAGTATAATGTACTGTGCGACACGATTGAAAATCGTATGAAATTTGCGTCAAATGGTGCATTTATAATATAAATATGGAATCAAACCATGTAGTAACGATTGAGTGAGTGTACATGATTTTTGCATGTTTTGACGCGCTTCTGTGCGATTTTTCCACGGTTCGAAACGGTGTATTCTGGCCGATTCTTTCCTTGTGTTTTCGAGGCAATCCTAACCCAGACATGGATTCTTGCTTTCCACAAGCAGAACTGTTAATTACGTCCCCGAAACTGTAAATGGAGTAATGAGAGCTCGCTTACTTCTGAGGCTGTACACGAGCACGTAATGCGCTCATGTATAACCGGAAGGAATATATCGGCGCCACCGTGTCACATGCAATCACAACAAACTTCCACCTCGCCGCCTCCTCGAGCACTGCCAACACAGCATCTACCGCGCCCTCGCAAGGGGCAACAACTTCGCCGAAGTAGGAGCCGTCCACAACAGGCTCTGAAACGTCTGGCTGCCACTCTCTAGACCCCCTTATATGTTTGCTGCGTTTGGCGTCAGAAAAGCGCTTGGCGACTGGCCCGATCTGTCCCTTGGGGGGCATGATGAGCAAGGGCGACAGCCAATCGAGCAAACGCAAAGTGACATGAGCTGTAGATTCATATGGAGCGCAAGTGCGCATGAATACGAGTATATGTGGAAAGTGTACAAGCACGCCTAGATGTACACATTTTGTCATTGACAAGCCGTTATTTTGGCAAACATGCTCATGAGAGGAGAAAATCAGGAATGTGGACGTGGACGCTGCAGCCTGTTTCCACTGGACAGTATCTTGGATCCCAATGAATAAAATACATTGGAATCCGTCGGTCGCCTTGATGCAAGTGCTACTATCTTCGGTTTCACTGAAACTCTGCTATTCGACAAAAAGGCATTACATCACACTGATTGAGTTAACGTTCCTTGTTCAAAATGGTCCGTGGGTCAGTTGGAAACAGCGTCTCACAGCAATCTCAGCTCTCGATTGCAGCCCAGCTCTCTAGAACTGACATTCCACAGGCGCCATCAATAAATACATCTATTAATTTGGTTGCCTCAGAACCCCTCGCCGAAGGCCCAGCCATGCGCACCCCCACCCCACCGCCCCCTTCGCTGCCGCCTGCGCCTGCGCATGTCATCAACACCGACACCGAACCGTATCGATAGTATCGATTCGATACTCACCCGTAGTCCCGTATCGAACCGTGCAGCGCCAGCGCCGTGCTCCTCAGCAGCCCGCGCCCGCGGCGCCGCCTCTCCCCGCCCCTCAGCGGCAGTGCGAAGGACCGAGCCCCCGGGACCGCCAGCCCGCCGGCCGTCGCCTGCCGTTGACCAACTGTCACGCCGGCGCAGGCGCAGCAGAGGGCCAGGACGAGCAGGGGCCGCATTGGGGCGAGGCGGCTCAGGGCGGCGCGGTGAGTTGGCAGGCGGGGGGCGGTGCGCGGGAGCGAGGGCGGATGACGGCGTCCGCACATACTCGCACGGATATTGCCAATGAATTCGGTGATGCAGCATTTCTTGAATGGAATGAATGGGAAGGCGACGGTCGGTCGCTGGCGTTTATGCAATGCGGCGCCGGGCCGCGGTCGTGGCGTGGACGTGGCGTGGGAACGGACAACGCCCGGGACAGCGGGCCTCGCCACAACATGCCGCCACACTGCGACAGAGCGTGGGAGGAACCTGGACGCCGAAATGCGCTGTAGCACTTTGGATTCGCATTGAAACTGCAAAAAACTCTAAAAGACGAGTAGATTAAATCCACAAAAAGATAAAAAAAACACTCCACGTCGCACCACGTCCGTACATTGTCGTACGGCGCTCGTACGGCACACGCGACCCCCCTCCCACCTCCGCGCATCATCCTCCTAACCGGGGCGCGCTACACACGACAAACGTACGCAACAAACCGAGTATCCCCCACACAGTTCTCGCCTTCCTCTTCTGGGCAAGATGGCCGAGTCCCAAGACGGCGACTCCGAGATCTCCGCCCTCTTCGGCGGCAGCTCGGCCTCGGGATCCGATCGGGACGAAACCTCCAGCCCGCCCCGCCCGCCTTCATCCCCCCCCGCCGACGCCACCACCCCCATCACCCCCTCCGGCCGCATCCGCGTAGTCCAGCCGGACAGCCCGGGGCCGTCACCCAGCCCGGATGCCTCGGACGCGGATTCAGGCGGCGACGGCCCGACGCCGATCCCATCCAGGCGGCGGGGGCCCGTGATGAGGCTCCAGGCGCCCCTGGCGGTGCCGATCGAGCGGCCGGAGGGATTGCGGCTGGTGAAGATGACGAAGTTCGTGGGGCTGGAGGCGGCGCCGTGGGAGGGCGGGGAGGACGAGGGCGTGGCGTGGGCGGGCGACCAGGCGGTGATTCGGTGGCGGTACGGGGAGGACGGGCAGCCGGAGAGCAACGCGAGGTGAGGTGGTTTGATTGAAGTCGAGGTTCCTCTGGTGCAAAGGTTTGGCTGAGGGTCACGCGCCGGCCGTGGCGTTTCCATCTTTGTATGAAAGGCTTTTCGACAACGCGGGGCAAGGGGAGGAGGGGGCAGCGTGCGGGTGCAAGTGCGTTGGCTGGTGATTTGCTTTGTGTGGTTTGGACTGGGAAGGCAGAGTGGGAGCCTTGCGCCTTGCGGGCGATGGAGGGCGTGCATGCTGCCAATTGCTCTTGTTTCTGTCCCTTGTCTGTTCGCTGATTGCACGCCTGTCTCCACATTACCAGTCAAGCGCTTTTCACCAAGTCGGCGGTATCAGGCAAGGGGTGGATGAGTTTGTTTAATATTCATCGCGCCACGGGGAGTTGTGAGTCGTCATAGTTGCGTCTCTATCGCATGTTGGAAGGGCGGGGGTTTTGGAAGGGGCTGGGGGGGACCATGCACTTGCATGGAGAAGGGGACTGCAAGGCAATGCTGGGGTTGCGAGGGGATTGTCTTTGACGTCAGGGAGGGAAAGGGAGATGAGAGGCTGGACGATGAAGATCATCCTTTTGACAAAGAATGCCCCTTATGGCAGGAAGGATGTTGCGGGTTCATTGTTTACACAATCGATGGCTGGATTTGTTGGAACGAACAATTGTACCGCTGCATGGCCTGCTGCAGCTGGTGTGCCAAGAACCCATGGCAAAGAATGATACAGGGTCAGCTTCATATTCAACGGGCCCGCAATGATAGGACAAACATGGCTAGTTGTACGAAAGGGCAGGTTGCCCTTTTGGGCAAAGGTAGTGGATTGTGAAGAGCAGGCAATCCCTCCGAAATATGGACTTCGATGCCCTTTCCCACACTGTGCAGGATGCAAAGGCCTTGTAGGTCAGCGAGAGGATGCCTTGGCTGCCGGAGCTTGACTTTGGTGTGATGTTGACAAACTAAGGTCAAATAATTTTCAGCTGACAAAATGCACAACAAAAAATGGGTGAACGGGAGGGGGAAGGGACTCGATGGCAAGTTAACCACCTGCGACTGGGCTGTGGGTGTGCGAGGCTAGGTAGGAAGTGGGAGATGCCAGCTGCGCATGAGCAAGTTGGCCTCAAACCTCAGATTCTGACCTTGTCATAACAAGATAAACCGTGATCGTACATATTGGGTGAGAATCTCAATGGAAACGGGTGTCTTGCACACATGGTGAGCCTGTGCATTAACCCCACAATGGGGAGACTCTTGGCTATGGGGAGGCCAGCGAGTGCATGTGTCTTCTAATTCAGTTCAAAACCGAGCTGTTGGTTCTGGGACAAGTTGTACTAAGGAACCAAGATTGATCAAGATAACGGAAGGCAGCTGCCATTGAAATGGTGATGGTGCCTGGGTCCTCTGTTTGCAGTATCCAGTTGTCATGGTGTGGTCTTCTTGCAGGCACCATTGCTGCCTTCCTTTGGGTCTCCGTGACCTCAAGGAGGCACCTGTCCATTCCTAATTCTTTCAGCCTCCCCACAGGGCACTCAACATATCATCACACAAAAGAGCTGCAATCTGTGCTGATGACCCCCTTCCCCTCTGGACCATAAGGACTTGTAGCAACAGAGAAGTTCCTGCCGTTTCATGTTGGGTGGCTTTAAGAGTGATTTGTTCCCTGCTCAAAATTGGTCACTTTGAATTTTATTTGCTCAGATCGATAGAAAGCTGCCACTTCTAAGTGGACCACTACAACCATGACCGTTTGACTTCCCCCCCACTTCCCCCTCTTTTGCCCATTGTAATATCCCCAAATGTGCCTTCTGTGTGGTCACAGCTGGTACCTTGAACAGTCCCAAATCTTCCCTGTCCCTCTGTCATACCCCCCAGTGAACAAGGCTCTGCACCCCGCAGGTTTGTGCGCTGGTCAGATGGCAGCCTGATGCTCTTTGTGGGCGACGAGGCGTTCGATGTCACTGAGCAGGACACAACGATCGACCACACCTATCTGTTTTTGCGGCACGAGAGCCTGATGCAGGTGAGCATTGAAACCCCTGCACTCTGTGAACCTGTTTGGATAGGAGAAGATTCAGTACTATAGGCTCCTGGGTCCATTTCTTGCTGTTGCGCATGGTGCTCCGTGCCGTGTGTTTTGCTGCTGTCCTCAGAGACTTCTCCATCAGCTTCACAGTTTGGAAGAAAGTCCTGCAAACATGTCTGCTCAGGAAGGGGGGCTCTTGTGGTGCAGCCTATTTGCCCTTTATTACAATTAGGAGGCACTCTGACAGTGCAAACTCGAGTCCAGTTGATCGATCAGAATGGTGTAATCTTACGCTGTATGTGGCCACAATATACATCATAGCACCTGTAATAATACAAAGTACAGGAACGTTTTTGCCACATGCGTGTCAGACACTTTGTCTTGCTGCAAAGCTGCAATATGTGGTATTGTTGACCCTCTTGCAAATGCACGTTGACTAGCCTTCTAGATGCGATGATGCTAGGCTTTACCCTTAGTCGCCTTGTAGGTGGGTTAATCCCCTAGCTGGTGAATAAGAATGTACTCTGAGGAGTTGCAGAATGTGATTCTCGTCCTTTACACCTTCCTCTCTGCCCTCCAAGTCTTTACCATTTGAAACTGCTGAGCACTGAATAGGACTGTCATCAACTACACAGCAGACGGTTAAATCATTCAGGAAGGCTGATAGGAACCAGTCGGGGAACACTTTGGGTACCGAACATGATCCCATCACCCCACTGTGCTGCCCATCATGTGCAATGTCAAGCTGCTACAAACCATGACCGAGGTACTTGCAAGCCCTATAATTGAGAGGTTGTTGGGAGCCATGAGACAGTTCTGCAATGTGGTGTGCAGTGCTTTGGGACATGTGCACTGCCACCGGATTTCTCTCCTTGCACCTGCACTTTTCAATGGCATAGTGTGAGATGGCTGAAAGGCCCTGCAGACTAGGGCAGCCAGCACCCCTGCTGCCACCTGGTTCGTGTTTGTGACAAGTGCTCTTTATCAGTGATCAAAATATAATACATAGCTCATGCTCTTTGTATTGCTTGTGCAGAACTGCATAAGTGTAAAATTGCCTTTCTGAGCTGGGAACTTTGCAAACGATGCAGATCAATTTATAACGACCCTGCTGAGCAGTTGGACTATTTCCTGTGCTTGGAGATTCTACTTCTTGTCGTTTAGTGTGGAGCAAGGTCTTGGGGGGGCTTAGCAGAGGAGGCTATGCAATTGATGACACATTTTCCTTTTGTTCACGGAATCGACAGTGCAGGTTTGGGCTTTGAACTGAGCAGGTGTTGATGTGGCATGGGTAGCATCTTGTAGCTGTACACTGACCCATTCCAAACTGGGGATCCAGCCAACCTCAGATTAAAGCAGCAGATTAAGGAATCTCTGTCCTTTCCGGTTGAAGCATTGCCTACTGTCATCGCCCAGAATATAAACTTGTGCCAGTGAGAAGTTCAGTGGTTGTTTTGCAGGGCATGTGCCAGCTGAAGGAGAAGCTCGTCTTCCGGCCTGCCCAGGTGAAGAGGCTGTCAATGGCCACCACCCCAGGCAAGGCAGAGGGGCCTGCACAGAGGAAGGTGAAGATGACGGCCAACCTTGTGGACCCCATCAAGGAGATGGAGAGCCGCAGCAAGCGCCAGGAGGAGATGATCAGGAGCAGGTTGGCATTCCCATTCAGGCATTGACTGACAATACATTGTCTATATCTATTCATGCGTATGCTTATCGGTATTGGCATTTATATTCATTATGATTTGGTTCAGGAGTTTTACAATTTTTGCTATAGTATTTGATTCTTTTGTTGTCGAAACATCACCAATCACTATCCTTGCTCCTTCATGGCGATGGAGAATACATCGCTTGCCCAGTCATCTGCTGAAACTCCAGTCCTTCTCTTGGTCTTTGAGTCCGGATTGTTGTAAGGAGACTTGGGGAGTCAGTGACGAGGCTGGACAAGTAGCTGGATGCTATTGCGGTGATGGACTTGAATTTGAATGGGTGGGCTGCATGCTGCCTGACAGGCAGTCCAGCACTCTGACATGCAGCATACAGATCCAGCATGTGCTTTAGATTCACCATGCACCACAAGCATACTTATGTATGCAAAATTGCGGCAGCATGGAAATGCCTAAAAGCACATCCTTTGTTCACATTGTCAAGTGGCGATTGCACACCGCCCTCACAGCTGCAACATGCTCTCAGGGCTATACCCATAAATGCAATGTCCGTTATTCGACGATGGCAAGGAAATCATCGAATTCATTGGATCGGGAAGAGATATTGAACACTTTTCCTGTGAGCATACTTGCATGGAAAGAGCACGTGAACCCCAGTTTTTACAAGCAGATGATGATACCGAGGGTGGAAGGGAATAGCCAAGCAGGAGCAACCTGGCAAGGTAACCAGGTGTTAATTGGCAAAAACTTTGCTTGTGGCATTTGTTGGTACATGTCAAACAAGGCTCTGTTCTTTCACCTGTGAATATATGTCAGGTGGTGTGTGAAACTTGCACTTTGCAGATGTCTCCAAAGGCAGCTGGTTATTCACAACAAGCTGATTGCATTTCATTTGTGTATGCTGGGGCATCCAACTACCATGGGACACTAGCAACAGTGGATGCTGCAATGCAGTACAATATAGCATCGCCCTGCTCAGCACAGTCCAGTGCTGTGCAGTGTACTGCAGTACAGTACAGCGGAGTGCTGGGCAGCCACAAAACAACAACATGGGCCGTTTACCACAGTACAGCACAGTGCAGGCCAGGGCGGTGTGCTTCATGCACAGTGCACACGTCCTGTGCCCTGACTTTGCCTGGCTGTGACAGTGAGCACCTGAAGCGTCGCCAGCAGAAGAAGATGCGTGGCTACCAGGGCTTCCGACTGGAAACCTCTTACCTGGAGGAGGACATGGATGAGGATGAAGAGGAAGATGGGCAGGGCGAGGGGGGAGATAGGGGGCTAGCTGCCCTCTCTGCTGAGCGGGCCAGGAGGAGCCTGAAGCAGCAGCGCAGGGTGGACGATGAGCAGGAGGTGCGTTTTGGTGATGTCCATGGGTGCTGTTCTGCAGCTGATTCACATTCCAAATTTTTTGCATCATATGTTGGGGGGCTGAGGCGCTGAATCCAGTGGTAAGGGAAGAAGAGGGTGGCAGCACACACTGTGGTGCAAAGTGATGCAATGCAGTACAGAGCACTGGCCACAAGATGAACTTGTGGTTGTGGTTGATCTGATTGCAAAGGAGGTCAATGCCAGTAGCACCCGTCTTCGGGTCTTTGTCCCATGCTGATACACCTGTTGATTATCCGCAGCCTGGAAGCTCGTCCCTTAATCAGAACAATGCCGTTCACTTGAGTTTTGTGCTCTGCATGGAGCAACATAAAGTAATGAATAGTGGCACGGACAACCAGCAACAGGAGCACGATGGTCACAACCCTGAGTTTAGCTCCAACACTTTTTGGAAAAGGATTGGTGGAAGGGTTAGCGCTTTATAGTGCCCTGCACTTTCCATACTTTGTCGCACTTCGTTTTGCCAGATTGAAAGGTGTTCTACCAGCTGAAGAGATAAGTCTGGATTTGTCCAGGCTCTTGCCGAGCAGCGCATTCTGCGAGCCAAGCGTGAGGCACCTCATGAAGACGCCACACCGGTGCCCAAACGCAGGCGGAGATCTCCCATCGACGAAGAGGAGGAGGATGCCTACGCTCATGAAGGCAGGGAGGAGGAAGGAGAGGCCTCAGATGCTGAGGAGGCCGACTATGACCCCACGGCATCCCAGAGTCGCGGGGGTCCAAGGACCGCCAACGGCCGTGTACATGATGCCGAAGGGCAGGCAGGACAAGGAAAGCAGGAGGAAGAGGATGAAGAGGAGGAAGAAGAGGAGGACGATGATGAGCTGGTGGGCGTGAGGATGAGGCGCCGGCCAGTGGTGGTGATGTCGTCGGATGATGATGAATAGTGACGAGGTGCCTCATGGTGTGATGGCCCCTGGGCTGTGGGGAGGAAGGGCGATTCTTTGTGGTACGGCAGGAACCTGGCATGTGGTGGATTGCCTCCAGGTGAGCAGGGTAATGTGCGAGACTGCTTTCTCTGCCGTTGTGGATGACAGAGATGGCCCTGCATGCAACTAGAACAGCATGAAGCAGAGCAGATTTGCAGTGGCTGAAGCAGTAGGATTGCAGCACTATTCCGATGGAAGTTCAGGAGCGGGGGGTGGTTGCATTGATGGCATCTGTCAACAATTGCATCAGCTCTGCCCTTGCATTAGTGGGGCAATCAGGGCTAGATTGGCCTGGGTTAGACAAGAAGTGGCTTGTTGGATTTGCTTGCCTGCGCTGGGAGGGCTACCCAGGTTCTGCTTTGGAGTGAGTCTGAAGAGTGAAGAGTGGGTCTGGGGCAAGCATGATTGACTCATCCAGATGGGATTGGAGGCCAGCCGTCTGATGGTGAGAGTTTGGCAAGCGATGCCTGTTTGGATGCAACTTGTTGGGGGAGGGGCAGTTGGGCGGAGACTGGTTTGATTGCATTGTTGGATGATTGTTGGTGCGGAGGTTGGCACACGCCCATCCTGTCCACTGTGCAGGGAACAGTCATGTCACAGACAGAGGCTTTGAGCCATGCATGCGTGCAGCTGACCTTGGTGGATCTTGTGCCATGCCGGTGGGACGCTGGAAAGCTTTTCTTTTTCGTGATACAGGCTGGGCTTCAGAAGTTCCAGTGGTGCAAAATATTCCAATTTTTAAGCACTGGCCCTGCTGTGCTTTTCATGTTCGAGATAATGCGTGACAATCGATTGATATCAAGAGTCCGCTGCGGATCTCGCTCTGAATACGTGAATCGACCGTTCTGTTTGTCATATTGTCAACCGAGGGAAGGCGCTGTGTGGATTTTGGTGCGTTTAGGTCGAAACCAGGATGACTCAGCAACATTACATAACGGTGTAGTCTAGATTTGCAATCTTTTGAAGAAAGAAAAGCAGCCAAAGCTGCAGCGATTGCAGTGGGCTGAAATTGAGATCCAAAAAGCCATGGCAGATGATGGGGGGCACCCTTGAAGGCCCCCGTTTGAAGATTTTTTGGGGTAAAGATTGAAAGCCAAAGGGAGTTTTTGGGACAACCCATGAGTTTGTTGCCATTTTGCAGCAGCGTTTTGGACATCTTCCAAGCTGATATCGATTTGTTGGCGATTACATAGTCTCTTAACGTACGTGATGAGTGATACCCATAGTTCGATGCAAATGTTGGGTAACGTGGAAAAGGCCAGCTCAACATTGCTTCGGAGCCTCCCTATCCATAGAAGCCCCCCATCCAACCGCCCCACAGTCTTCAATCGGCGTCAATGTCTTGAGGGGGCCATGTTGGCCACCAGAGAATCAACGAGGCGATTCTTTGCAGACCAAACTTCTTTACACGGGGGGCGCCTTTTGTCCACTTCAAAAATTGAACGCCTCCGCTCCTCCATAATCCAGGTAAGCCAGATCCATCGCGATCTGAGGGGCCCATTCGTGGCTGGCGTCATGATCTCCATTTGGGGATGGCAGTTGTCTCTCACGAAAGCCCATTGACAACGGCTCAGGGCAAACAGCCCGCCGCATGTCAGGCGTCCTTTTCGGGCATACCTCTGTGCCGCAAGCCGGCAGAGGAACGCAAAAGATGCAGGGAACCTCTAACCAGCGCACGTGTGTTTGGGCACTTCCGTTCACAATGCCATGCCTCAGGGGGTTGGTGCAGAGGCTCATACATAGGGCGTATTTGCAGTTTCAATTGATGGCTGCCTTTAACAGCTAGGGCAACTCCTTCGGGAATATGTAAGTGTCGTCCACCACAATCATGCGGCTGCGCAGGTAATGTGAATGGTCGGACGTCGGCATCTATGATTGTTTGGAGGAGATGCATGGCAAGGAGATGTGTCTTATTCGTTCAGGTGAATGACTACCTAGTCAAAGTTCTGCCCCGGGTGCCGGTTCTCAAACGTTCAAAATGGGCTTCAAAGCGAACGTTCTCCCACTGGCTTCCATGCAACAACGTTCTCCGGAAATCAGCAGACTGGCGTTGCCAACGTCCCTTGGCCCGGCGATTCTCCAGATCTCTTTTCGCTTCCTCACGCTTGGACAGATGTCTTGAATGACATTGGCAATGGAGGGCGGGAGGCCGGTGCAACGTCACTTCTGGTTTCCGTCACGCAGCGTCTCGTGCGATGCTACGAATGGACGCACCCAACAGGAGACTTTCCCGATCGCCCTTCGCTCTTACCCATACACTCTCCCGCACCTGATCCCTCTCCCTTCGAGACAAACCATCAATATTTCTGACAGCAATTCACAGGCTATGTGATGCGAGACTGTGCTGCTACACAAGTACAGTCAGTAGTTTAACACAATTAACAGGTTTCTAGGTACATCAGTGTGCTGTTGCACAATTATCGGGTACACCCCCCTTTGTTTGAATTCCATCGGCTTCGATCGGCTGGTTTTGATTCGATTGGCATGATGCCTGATGGCCTTGTCGCCATATGTAAGCGTCATTTCCCACCCGAAACCGAAAGGAGTAGCACACCGTGGCATACGTATTAAGGATGCCTTCAACTAGAACTGCCTCTGCAAAGCTTGCTAGGTTGAAACTTCCAGAATGTATGATATGGCTGATTAGGGCCGCCGTCTGTTTGCAAAAATTGTAGTATTGCAACCCAAGCTTTGATTACGGACGAGGCTGACGGGTGACAATATTGATCACTGGTCATAACTCCATCCACTCCCATTGCGCCTCTCATCATCATCATCATGAGTTTTTTTACAGAACAAGGCAATGAGGTAGCCGTCAGCTTCCTATTTTGCCTGAGCAAAGCAGTGTTGGTGATTGGTTCATTAGAATCTAAGGAGAATGCAAACTAAATGTACGAACTATGAAATTTCGCTGCCTAAAAGTGATAATCGATGGTAATACATCAAACGAAGTGTGTTCGCAAGCTGTCGAGCTGGAACTGTAGCAAAGAGTACTTTCGCATTGCGACATTGAAAAATACGAGAGTGGCTTCGACGGATGGTGTTGTAGGCTTGGCAGTGGAAGAGAAAATGGAGCTCGTCTTCAGGTGCCAAGTGGCATAACGGACACAATCGGCTTGAAAATTCTGGAATGGATTGTCTCGCTTGGTGTCGTTGATTCTCGACTTCCAGGAAATGTACCCCACAGCGAAAGCGTAGGAAGAAAGTCCTCAAGGAGATAGGTTGCAAGGTTGACAAGAATCGTTCATAGCGGTAGACTGGCTTGATGTGTCTGTACCAACGCTGAATTCTTGAAGAAGGGCTGGTGAAGACATTGGCGATGTGGACATGTTTGTATATCCGTTGAAAGGACTGTATGTCAACTGGCGTAGCCTCCGTGAAACTGAGAGCGGGCCAGAATCGATGGAAGAAGGCAATGATCCGTCCATACCATGAGCGAGGAATGGTAGAGAATTGTTGAAACCCGGACTTGAAAATGGCGCCATGAACCCGAGAATTGGGTAGTTCCACCATTCGATTCCAGTATCGCATCAATTGCCTCCATAAATAAAATTCTAAAGGAAGTGCTCCCATTTCAGCATATATAATCCCAAGTGGCGTATGGCCAGGAAGGCAAAGAATTTGGCGGAAGAATTGAGTCTGGACTTTCTCCAACTGATGCCATTGAGTCTTTGTGAGAAAGGGGCCCCAAAGGGGCCCCAGGGGCCCATTGCGCCTCTCACGATCTCATTCCTTTGTTGTTTCATCAACATCACTAGCGAAAAAAGGGCCAAATAACACGTGTTCAAGCGTGTACAAAGTTTACGGGTTTGTGCTATTTTTGTGTTCTTAGCGTGCAGAACTTTGATGAAATGTGTTTTACGTGTGTTCGCAAAAGTGTTATTTGGCCCCTTTTTCCCGGTGCATGTTACTTATATTTTGTCAACAAAACCACCCTACCGACGGTTCAAGTCAATGAATGTCTTTTGCAAAATAGTTAAACATTGTCCAATTCGCGCAAAAGGAGGTGAAGACATGCGAGTCAGAAATAGGCATAAACACTATCGATAAAAGGAAAACATGCCGCGATGTGTTTGGAAACCTATTGAAGCCTCAAGTTTTCTCAGGTGACCGAAAACTAATTCAATTCACAGAACTAGGGCTTCCCCCTTTGCTTTCCATCATTCCACATTTGAAGAATAAAATATCTTGAAGTACATGCTAGCATTATTTTTCATACCAATGTAATAGCTGCACCGCCGACTTATTTGCATCTGTAACAAGTCATCTATGTTGTGTCATAGTGATAGTTAAGGTTACTGATTCATATTGGCGTCGAATAAGCATTAATATACACCTTTCTTTTTTTTTGGGGGGGGGAGGATTGGGGGGCGAAGAAGGACGAAAATTTGCTCCAAATTAGATTATAAAAAGGAATGTGAAAGAGAGAAGGGGTTCATGCCTTTTGTAGAGAATATGAAGAGACATAGTTTCAATTTTCCTCCGTACTTAAAGAGATTTAGCGAAACCCCCGAGGCAAAACAGGGCAGATACAATTTGGATAAATGAGCGATCACCAAGTGTCAGCTTAGCTTGTCAATTGCCAAGCGGAGGTGTGGGTGGCTGTTAAGATTTGCCTCCGTTGAATTTTATGCAGATCGTTCAAAGAATTAATAACGGTTTGTCAAAGAAACGTGGAACAAAACCCACTGCTCTTAAAAACTTACCATGCGGTGAATATATGTTGCTACTTGATTATTACTTGAACTAAGGTATATTTACTGGCGATTGCGCAGCGTCACGTGATCGCACGTCGTGCAGTCGCACTCGCGCATCAGCCCCAGATTAATGGGTGCGACGTGCCGATACTACCATCCCTGTAATGACGTGGCAGCGGGCTGTGCGTTCGCCCGTCCTACCTTACTAATGCAGTTTGTAATATGCGCACATTCCAGCCTCAGCCCGCATGGCTGATTGTGTAGCGGCCAAGGTTAATTAGCACATTGATCATGCAGTCGCAGGTTGGAATGTAACCACGGTGTACAACAAATCATTCTCGCTTTGAGCTGGAATGGAAACTTGAGCTGGAATCTGCCGAGGCATGCAGTTCACAGCGCGAAAAAGAACACACTGCATGAGACTCTATGATAACACATGTCACGTGTCGTGCCAGTGTTTAGTCGGTAAAAATGACAGCAACAAGTTCCTTGGAAGATACTCGCACGTCGTGGACATGCACATGCAGGTTATGAACCTGATATGTCCAGGTTATCAACCTCTCCTATCCCTGACATGCAGCGTCCATATCCAGGATATGGCATATCCTGGATACCATTTGTATTCACAATGTGTTCCCAAGTCCTCTTCAATATCCAGGATATAGGACTTCTTACGGCTGTGTCCAAGATGACACGAATTAGTTCTATTTTAAAACATTTTGAGCACTATTAGAAGTAGTGCTTTATATTAGAAGAAACTGTTAAATGGGCATATTTTCCTCACTATTGGTGGAAAAGCCGGCAGTTGAATGGTATGTCCTTCCAAATTTGCCATGCTACTGGATTGGATAAGCTGTAGCTTTGGGTAGCCCTGAAGTTCCATTTGCAAAGTCAAGTTTGTGATACACAGTCATCGAATCGCCAACAGCGCCAATTCTGAACAGCAGCTTCAAATTTGCAGTTGTGTTGTATTGCATTGTATTTGCGTCATATTTTGTAATCATCGTATTTACCTAGTATTACTAGGCACCCCTTATCAGTATCCACCCCACACTTTGGGGGTCGAAACCATATGAGCATCCATGACACGGTGTTAGTATCCACCCCAAAACATAGACAGAAACGAGCAAAGGCGTGGATGATGGCAAGGGAAGTCAACGGCTGGCGTTGGACCGCATTGACCAGTCTAGACCATACCACGTTCCCTGCGATTTGCATGTCGACGGGGGCGATCGGGTCGGGGTGGATGGG